GAATCTGAGATTCGTTCTTCTATCTTTTGTATTCTATTGGTTATGCTTGATTCTGTAGTCTCTGTTCATTTACCTTGATTTTTCATATCCAGCCGGTCATCAGTTTGTGTTTTCTTCATTGTCTCCTTTTCAGTTTTCATTTCTTGAACTGTTTCCTTTACCTGTTTAATTGTTTTTTCTTGGTTTCCCGGGGTATCATTTACGGATTTACTCATTTCTTCAAAATTTTTGTTATATTTCTCTTCCATTTCTTTACTCATTTCTTTAAACTTTTTGTTATACTTCTCATCCATTTCTTTAAGGGGGTTATTCATATCCTGTTTAAGGGACTCCATTCCTTTCATAATGGCACTTTTTTTCCAGTTCTTCTGGATTAGGGTGTTCAAGTCCTTCTGTCGTAGGGTCGCTGGGATCTGCTGTTTTCATGTTGCTTTTCAGATTGTTGGAGGAATTCTTGCCTTGGCATCTGCCCATCTCTTCCTTCAAATGCTCTCTAATGGATCTTCTGGTACTGGGTCAGGTTCCCTTGTTGGGCAGGGACCTCCTTGACAGAAGGCCTACCTTTCTGCAGGCAGGCTATTGAATCACAGGAATTCCCTCCTGCTGGGTTGCACTTACAGCCCAGTCCCAGAACTCAAGCCAGCTGAGCTGGGAGATTTTATGGCCCTGAGGAGGAAGGGAGGAATAAGGGAAGGGGTTCCTCGGTGAAAGCAGGGATAAGATAGGAGGCAAGAGGACTTAGCCACTGCAGAGTGACCAGGGAGTCATGGGGGTCGGGGAACGTCTGAGCTCCTCCTTGCTGGGCTTCTGTCAGGGGTCAAGAGCAAACTCACCCCTCTAATGGATCTTCTGCTAGAGGATCAGTGCCCTTACTGGCCAGGAATCTTGCTGAGCTGACACAGGGCCTACCTTTCTGCAGGCAGGCCCTCTGGTGGATCTTCTACTAGAGGATCAGTCCAAAATAAGTCTTAAAAAGTCAAGAGACAAACCAAACAACTGTAAGTTTGTTTGTTTAAAGAACAAGTTTTGACAGAATTGGACATATAATGGGTGATTTGGCTATTGATGAGAAACTAGCTTGTTAACAATGAACATTCTATCAATTGAATATATTTAAGAGCTGTTTATTTATTTGATATGTTAAGCCTTACCTATCTTTTTAAAATATGTACTGCAAATGATTTCCATATATTAAACATATAATTATAGTAAAAATTGTGAAAACACTAAGGACTAAAAAAACTAAAACACTGGTGACTAAAGTCATAAGAGTCCAGTCAGAAAAAAGTCTTTACAAACACTACTGAAGTTTTTCATAATTAGTTGAGGGCAGGTGCTGTTTCTGAGAGGAACTGAATTCAGATTACAACACCTACATGGTGGCTCACACCATCCATAAATCCAGATCTAGGGGATATAGCATTCTTTTCTGGCCTCTAAGGGTATGCACGCAGCTGATATGCAAAAGTCCATGTAGGCAAAAGATACATATACTTACATGTAGTAATATATTTGTACATATACATACATGTATATGTAACAACAAATAATAAAAGGCTTGGTATTGAAAGAAAGCAAAGAGGGGCACAGAGAATTGTTTGAAGAGAGGGAGAAATATAATCATAATTTTACAGAAGAAAGTTGATATTTGAAACCACTTTCAAAGTAATACTTGTATAAGATTATTTTATACTAGTCATATGCACATCTTATTATATATGTAATACATACAAAATATATTAACATTATCATATATAGTATTTTTATAAAAATACAAATCTATTACGTATTATATAAAATGTTTTAATCCTTAAGTCATTTCTAGGATTTGTTTATGTGTAGTCATGCACATTTTGCAAATTTTGAATAAAGAAAAGAACATTTGAAAGTACAAGCTATTATATAGGTGACAAAGAAACACAATGATTTGGTTTTATATGTGATATTTTAATTACCATAGTCCATGATACTACTCTTGCCTTTTAAATGTAACTTCTATACTGTAGCAATATTTATCTGTGATGGTTTTATGTAAAGTGATGAAATACTGTTTTCACACATTTTTAAATGATATTGCTGATTATTTTTTAGATAAAAATGTAATTTTTCTCAAATATTCAGGACTTGAAATTGTAATTCCATCTGTTCTTAAAACATTTCAAACTGATGTGGGGGATGGCTGGGAAATCCCTACTAGGTAACAAGGAAGTTCAGGGTAATAGCTATGTTCAAAGGACACTCACCAAAGTAATAATCATCATTGTAAATGAGAATGAAGTTCTCTGTTTTTAAAATTTTCAAATCAAAGTCTTAAATACAATTCATCCTGTCATTCTCAGGTTAATTGAAGTCTCCAGATGAATAAAACCCCATTCTCGCCTCTTAAAAATTGGCTAGTTTTGTTCCTTTTTTATTTACATATGGACATCCTCTTGAGTGCAAAGGTTCTGAGAACACAGTTCTTAATTGGGACAAAATGCCCAAAGGTAATATAGGTAGATAATGATTTTAATAGAACTGGTAACAGTGGACCTAATTAAAATAAAGAAATAGACAAATAGAAGGACCAGACAAGGTATCACCTGAGGCATCTGGAAGTGTGGAGATCATGAAGGAGATAATGAAACTTATGGGAAGCACAAGGATAGTCTGAAACAACTGAAAATTGTTTTGGGCTCAAAAGGTTGAGAAAACCAGAGTATCAAGGAACATGTGTACACTGGATGTTCATCTCATGAGGTTATATAGAGAAACAAGGACTCTTTGGGGAACATTTTTAGCAGCTTTCTATGTTGTGTCCTAAGAAGAAGCCAGCTGTGTCAATGTGTACTGAACATTTGAGTGGGGCTGAATTGAAAGTAATGGGTTAAATTGTTTGATGATAGAAAATTTAATTTAATATAACATTAAGTTTGGGATGCGGTTATTTATCACTGTCTATTGGGATCTAATGAGAATTCAATTAATTTTGCTAAAAATATTATAGAGTTTGTGAAGAAAATAACACAAACAATGTTAAAGCCATAGACAAAGAGAGTACTGAGGAAACGTCTGCAATTGTTTAAAAAATATTAGCCCAATTAAGAAAAAATGTGCTATGCACTGCTGTAAAGTAAAGATAGCTTGAAAGCCAAACCATACCTTACCAAAGTTTTTAAATTTACAATGTTCAGACTGATTCTAAAGGAGAAATATGGGGTTGGTTATTCCACTAACAGAATCCCAGCTCAAAACAGCCACATAGGGTATTTTCTTAGGTTTCATCACTAAGCCACACAGAGGTCGTTTTATCAGTGATTATTGAGGAAGGAGCAACAGCTGCTCAATGACATTTGAGTACACATACTGCTAAATCAATCCAAACTATATAGTTTGAAAATACCTTGAGTTCAACATTTAAGTCAAAAGATATGTTACTTTGGCGAACAGGCTTTGTTTTTTATTTCCCCAGGAAATTAGAGGCTGTAGATTCATTCTGCTTTAAGAAAAGTAAGTGTGATCAAGGAAAATGCCCTGAAATATCTCCAATAGAAGTGGATGTCCCAATGATTCTACATTTTAGAAGGCCTCTGCTGCAGTTTCCTCTGAGTTCTACGTCTAGAACTGCTTCAAGATTACTGGCTGAGACAATCCAGCGTCACAGAATACAATCAAGTCTAGATCATATCCTAAATTTTCTTTGACCCTCCATAAGATTATCAACACCCCCAATCAGCAGGAAGTAGCCTAGCAAACTACTCCCACATTCCCCCAAAAATGGATTATGTATGTTTTTGTTGTTGTTGTTTGGTATATTGGTTATAACTTTTTATGGATAATGATCAGGAAAACAGCTAAACAAAGAGATTAGATTTAGGTTATAAGTTTGAGAAGAAAAGCAGGGAAAATGCTATGGGAAAATGCTCTTTTACAATGTAACGATTTGTCACACATACAGGTTTAGTCAAATGCTGACTGACCAGTAGCCAGGGAGGAAATAAAGCTGGAGCAACAAGACTAGAGAAATTTTGTGAAATGAAAAGCAGAGACACAGTCACCAGCCAGGTGTGGAAGAAGCAAGATGAGAATGCCTCAGTGAGAAAAATTACCAAGCAATGTGATGAAATAGAGATAAGAATTATGGGTTAATTTAAGTTGTAAGCGCTAGTTAATAATAAGCATTAGCTAAGAAGCCAAACATTTTATAATTATTATAAGCCTCTGTGTGTTTCTTTGGGACTGAACAACTACAGGACTGGGCAGGATCAAAACTTCTGTCTATTTAATAATAAGTTGGAAAATGGAAAAACTCATAGATCTACTTTATACACTAAAAAGTATTTACAGCAATGGTTTCCTGTTGTAACAAAAATAATGTTTAAAGAGGCAACATCTTTGGTTGTGGAATTTAAGTAATTTGAACAGTATCAAACTTGTTTTCTCTGTCTTGTTTTGAAAATGCATATCAACACATGTTATTTTCTCTACAAGATGTAGTATTCTTTTGGCAACAATGGTCTTCACTATTTCCATCAGTGTGAGGCTCTTCCACTTTTAGGAAGCTCCCCAGTTTTCTGCTCTACTGTAGGTTATGACTTTTCTGTTACATTACCAGATAATTTATAATTTCATAAAAGATACAAACTCAGTATTGGCTTTGTTTTTGTATTGCTGTTGTCATATTGCAGATTAAGGCCTTTCAATGCTAATTCAGTTAATATTTTATATCGTAAAGATTAAGATTTAAGAAAAAAATTCTATTGGAGCCTAAATATCAAGTGATTTATCCCCAAAACTACTTTCAAGATCCCAGACTACAGGCAACGGCAACTAATGAAGTCATTAGGGGCACCATTCACAGTTCCTGTAGTGACATTTCTTGTCCTGTAAAGATTTTCTGCTCTTCTCTAGTCCCCAAGGGAATACATTTTGACCCTCAACAAGGAGAATTCCTCAGGGAATCTATTTAGTTGTCCCAAGGTTCTGGGATGATGATATCATAATTCTTCTCAAGAGGGGAACTCTGAACTCACTTATTCATGTAATGTGACCACAGCAGGAAAGTACACCTGAGAAATGCAAAAGAATATGGTGCTACCAAGAGTACCAATGCTGCATCACGGACAGTAGCACAACCAGGAGAAGACACATGATTTCCTCTGGGTTTCCTGAGGAATATACTCACTTCTTAGCTTTGTTGAAAATGAAAATTCAGAGTGTGATTAACTGATAATAGTAAAATTGTGTAAAATGACAATGCAGAACACTCCAGGTAAGTGCACTATGGAAGAATTGTATGTGTCATTCCTCAAATGTTTATGGGTAACAGTGGAGCCACCCAAATAACTGCCAGTAGCATTTTTGTGATTTAGATAATGCTATGAAGAAAGACAATATTCTTCCTCATGTATATCGTTTATATGTAGGGTAAATGACATATCCTATAAGGTAAAATAAAAAACTGTGTATGAGCTGCTTTTATTTTTGAGTGTTGATAGAAGCTTTGGTTTATTTCAAGTTCATTTTCTCTGTCTTTCAGTTCTCTTCAAACTTATATGAGTGGAAAAATGTACTATTTTGTCAATCCTAATAGCAGAATTAGAACCACGTTCTGTTTTAGTAAAGTAATAGGGACTTTGTGAGGGGATAACATCAGTCTAGTTTCACAGACACACACACACACCACACACACACACACACACACACACATTCTGGTTAAATTATTTTAAAATAATGAATGTAGCCTTTCTTGTTAATGATGAAATAAAAGCAATGAATTATCCCTTTCCTAAAAGCAATAGAAACCATTTGGAATATTGCCTTTTATATATAGCATAATTTTAATATTACTCTTAAAGACAAGATTTTTTAAAAAAAGAAAAATATCTTAGATTAGTTCTAATTCCTTTTTTATTATAAATGTTTTCCTGAATTGGATATTCTCCTTAATTTCTCAAACTTTTTAAAATTAGTTTATATCTTGAATAGCAGAATTTTTTACACAACTGAGGGAATAGCCTCAGTAATTTTAGGGAATTAGTATTTGTAGCTTCCAGTAGGAAAAAATAAAATGCTGCCAAAACACTGACATTGCTTTGCCTTTGAATAATGTCTGAGAAAAAGTAACTTCCAACAAAATTTCCCCTCTATATAAATAATATTACTGGGTGTAATAACCTTATGGAATCAAGGATGAAATACATTGAATTAATGATGTTTTATTTCTCAAAATGTTCAGAAAGCATTGAAATAAGAATTGGCAGGCAGAAGGAAAAAAAATGACCGTTTCAATTCATTGTGAATTGTTGATTTCATTGTGATGTGACATATTTACACAGTGTATTTTATTGTAAAGAGCTCATAATCAAACAGCATTGGAAATGAAAAGAATATTTTATTAGGTTTTATTTTTATTAGGTAAGAAGATTTTTAAAATCAGGGTAGTCTTTTACCTAACAGGATGCACTGTACTGCCAAGGCCTTCTTCAGCAACTGCACCACACTGATTTTTTTGTCTGATCATTAGGAAGCAGAGTCCTAAGTGTCAGGTGCTGCCATGTTCTTCCTTAGTCTTTAAAACAACTTCTCAGGGTTCCACCAATGACCCGTGTGATAAAACGGTGAGTAACATGTTTACATTGATTTTCATTTGGAAGAAGCAGACAGAAATTTACATTGGAAATTTGTTCATAATATGAAGCTAGATAACAAGTGTATATCATGGGTGAAATTGTCAGTTATGTTTACAACAGCTTTCATTTTCTCTGGTTGCTAGGGATCACTTAGAGTCACGGCATAAATGAGTAATATGGCGCGGTCCTGATCCTCACCCGCCTACCACCACCTGACAGCTGGTGATCCCTCCAGAGCGGTGATGAACTATGGACGGAACCAATAGAACAGCAGTGGCAGAGTTCATTTTTCTAGGATTTCCGGGCTCTTCTGCACTGCAGCTGGCATTATTTGTGATGTTTCTCACTGTGTATTTGCTGTCTCTAATGGGGAACACTCTCATAATCTTCCTTATTCTGATGGATTCCACACTGCAGACACCCATGTACATTTTCTTAGGGAACTTGTCCTTCCTGGAGATCTGGTACACTACAGCCACAGTACCTAAGTTGCTGGCTACATGTGTCACGAAGGTTGTCACCATTCCTGTCGCGGGCTGTACTGCTCAGTACTACTTCTTCTTCTCCCTGGGAGCCACTGAATGCATCTTGTTGGCAGTGATGGCTTATGACCGGCACGTGGCTGTATGCCGTCCTCTACACTACTCACTTCTCATGAGTGGGCAGATTTGCCTAAGGTTTTCAGCTGGGTGTTGGATTGGGGGCTTTATTGCCCCTTTGCTCCCCACCATACTCATCTCTCAGCTGAACTTTTGTGGCCCACAAAAAATCAACCATTTCTTTTGTGACTCGGACCCGATCTTTAAACTCTCCTGCTCAGACACATTCTTGGTGGAGGCCTTGGGTTACACCTGCAGCTCTGTGGTGATTCTCAGCTCTTTCCTTCTCACAATGAGCTCTTACGGCAACATCGTGGTCACAATAATCAAGTTATCTTCCCTGGAGGCTCGGAAGAAAACGTTCTCAACCTGTGCCTCCCACCTCACAGTGGTTACCATCTACTATGGCACCATAATCTTTGCTTACGTTCGCCCTCCAGCCAAATACAATTTTACAATTGGAAAAGTGGTCTCAGTGTTCTACTGTGTGATTACTCCATTAGTCAACCCTCTCATATATACCCTGAGGAACAAAGATGTGATGAAAGCTTTCCACAAATTTCTAGTA